AGGGATCCATATTGTGAAAGTCCCACAATTCAACGTTTCAGGTGAAGCTTGAGCGTTCCCAGTGCGCAAGGCTACCCGGGTGCACAGGAAGCACCAAGGTTCACGCAAAGAGCCGAAAGTTCCAGCGTTCTAGAGCTCAAGGGTTGCAGGATAAGGTAGCAGGGTTCCAAAGTTACAAGGCTCCAAGGAATCCAAGGTTGCAGGTTCCATAGTTTTGCAAAACTCCAAGATTTCAGTGTTCCGGGGTTGCAGGGTTCCAGAGCAGAAACCCTTTACTGGAGCCTTTGCAGGAACGCCTCGCAGGAAGTCTTGCAGGAACCTTTCCGGACGCCATAGCAAAACTTGCGGATTCAGTTTGAATTTTGTTGTATTAGTTTGTATTTTTCTTTGCTTAATGTGCGGGGCTGCTTCATGTCTCATTAAACCCTGGAACCATGGAACCTTGACCTAGACCCCGGAATCCTGGAACCCTGAAACCTTAAAATCTTGGAACCCTTAATTCTTGAGAAAGTCCTAGAACCTTGGACACCTGCATCCTCGGCATCCTGGCGCAAGCTTGGGGCTTTGCCCCATGACCTTGCAACCTTGGAACCCTGCTGAGCAAGGTTCATGCCACAGTTCCAGAAAAGGTTCCTTCAAAGGTTCAGGCAAGGATTCCAGCATTCCAACACAGATCCAAGGTTCAAGGTTCCAGGAAGGTTCCAGTAAGGTTCCAGGGCTGTTCCGTTTTTTCGGGGTGTGCATTTTTGTGTCACCACTCCCCGGCCCCAGAGATTGAACCCCAAAAGAGCATGTGCCCAGCCAAAATAAAACAAGATGTGAGTGAGAATTATCTTTTTCGGACCTTTTGCCGCAATAATGTTACATACAATCTTGTACTTTAAATGTCGGGCAAAAACATTCTACCGGGTTAAGACTATTTGGCTTGAAGGGCCTGTTGCATGTAGTGACACTAGAGTAGTCGCTGAAGCATGAATCATTTTCGCTGGCTGGGTGTGCGCGTTTGTGCTGACAGGACCATGGACACCAAAAGCCATGTTTGATAAATTAGCTTGTTAGAGGTCAGAGGGTGTGCTTTCTAGGGCATTCCTGTCCAGCAGAGTCTTGGTCCAAACAGCTTCGGCTGCCAATTGCTATCTGATTTGGCTATACCAGGCGCGCCAGCGTGGTCTGGAAGTATGATCTTTTCAAGGCTTTGTCAAAACAATGACCAAAGGTCCAGGTTGCTTTCACGGTTCCAGGGTTCCAAGGGTTCCAAGGTTCCAAAAGTTCCAGGGTTCCAGGGGTCCAGGGCTCCAGAAGTTTCCAAAGTCCAGAAGTTTCAAAGTTCCAAGGAACAGGGTTAGGGTTCCAAGGTTCAGGGTTGCAGGGTTCCAGGGTTCCAGCATTCCAAGGTTTCAGGGTTTCAGGGTTCCAGGGTTCCAAGGTTCCAGGGTCCCACGGTTTCAGGGTTCCAGGGTTCCAAGGGTTCCAAGGGTTCCAGGGTTCCAGGGTTCCAGGGTTTCAGGGTTCCAGGATCCCAGCAGGGTGCCAGGTGTGCAGGGTTCCGGGTTCCAAGGTTGCAGGGTTCCAGGTTCAGGGTTCCAGAATCCTGAAAGGGTTCCAGGGGTGCCAGGTTCCAAGGTTTCATTCAAGGTTTCGGGTTCCAACTGTCGCAGGTTCCAAGGTTCCAGGGTCTTCCAGGGTTTCAAGGGTTCCAGGGTCCCACGGTTTCAGGGTTCCAAGGTTTCCAGGGTTCCAAGGGTTCCAAGGGTTCCAAGGGTTCCAATGGTTCCAGGGTTTCAGGGTTCCAGGATCCCAGCAGGGTGCCAAGTGTGCAGGGTTGCAGGGTTCCAAGGTTCCAAGGTTCCAGGGTTCCAAGGTTGCAGGGTTCCAGAATCCTTGAGGGTTCCAGGGTGCCGGTTCCAAGGTTTCAGGGTTCCACGGTCGCAGGGTTCCAAGGTTCCAGGGTTTCAGGGTTCCAGAGGGTTCCAGGGTTCCAGGGTTCCGGGGTTCCAAGGTTTCAGGGTTTCCAGGGTTCCAGGGTTCCAGGGTTCCAGGGTTCCGGGGTTC